AGGCTATAAGGGGTCTCATACTTTTTCCTGAAAATGATTATTTCTTTTTTTCTCTCTACATTTTAACATTGTTGTGTCTCTTAAAAATAGTTTATTTTTATAATCACTTTCCTCTACTTAACTTTTTGTGGAGGGCAGGCAAGGGATAGGAGTCCATGAATGAATGAAGTGCATAAACACGCCTTGTCAGTCCAAACAAAAGTTTGTTCCACCCACATTGCAGCCTATCCCTGTATGGGCTACTAAATTTTCATGACACATGTTCCTACAGCACTTTTTGAATCTGTAAACCACTCCAAAGGTCAAGGTTGTTCAGTTTGTCAGGAATACAGTGACACAAGGGTTTCCCAACATAGCCAGTGTATACACTGTTGGCTTTCCTTGGGCACTTTGTTTATGTTATAAACAGACCTTATCAGAGCCATGTGTCTTTTGTTAGTCAACTTTGTTCCATAGGAACAAAGTTCATTCCTATTTTTTGGGCCCAGGCAGAATTTCTCCCTGTTGGCCTAAATTTCAAATGATCTTATAGACAAATAGATGTGAATAGTAGTCCTATTATCCCTTTTTAAAAAAATTATAAAGCAAGTGGGAAATTGGGGACCACTGAACTAGAAATGCTTAATACTGCTTGATTAAATGGCATGATTATGTGGACTTCAGATCTTTTCCCCTCTCAGTATATTAGCAGAAACAGGATACTGATATTTTGCTCTAATGATTCTTAAGAGCAGCTCTGCTATTTGGGTTTTTCATGGTCATAAAAGTCTTAACTTCGATTTTATTCATGCTAGTTACATAGCTTTTGTCATGAGTTGAATTTTTTCTTAGCTAAAGGCTAGTGTAGTGATACTTTGGCAAGAGGTGTATTCAAATTTACCAGAGAGTTAAGACAAATTTTCTTTCCTTTTTCATATTTTTAAACAATAAATTAATAGAAATAAAACAAAGTGGCTAACAGTGTTACTCCATTGATGGTGTAAATAGTTTTCCTAGTTACTGAATAGATTTCAGAGATGATGAGAATATTTTATTGTGAAATCTTAATGTAGACATAATTTCACCATTCATTGTTGAGTGTGTATTTTGGACAAACATAAGCATTAAATAGGACTTAACAAACAAGGGCTTAAAAAATAAAGTTAAAATAAAACTATTAAGTTTTTCTCTCAGCATGTATTCTTTTAAAAATGAGTACATGCACCTGTTCCATAAATTTTAAGTTGGTGCAGGTCCTGTTCATGCATGCCTCTCAACTCTTGGCAACTTACTTCTTACACATTTGCAGCAACCTTGTCTGAACAAAAGTAGCATTTCCTGATTGGTTAGTTAAATTTCTCATTTTCCAGCCTTACCTCCTGCTCTGTTCTTGTCTTCTTTTCACATCTGCCTTAGACTTCAGCATGTCTCTAGTCTTTTCATTTTCTTAGGTTATCTGAAATGAAAAAACTTGCAAAATAGGAGGTCTGCTTCTGTGACTCCCGGGGTGAGAGTTTCCACTGGCCAACCTCCAGTCCCCCATCTCCTGGTGTGGAATGTACAGCTATGGCCCATCACTGTTCCCATTGGAGGAGCATACAGAGTCCGAGCCTCTCTTTGTCTCAGGTGTGGGCACACACCAGTGCTTAGCCCAGGCCGTTCTAAGTATAGTAGCATGGATACGGAGAGGAGACACCTATACAGATAGCACCTTACAAATGCATTGTCCTATGAAAGTAGCTACCCAGATGCAAACATGGGAAACACCGAGACTCCAAGCAGATTTTGACATTGTAGTGAACTACATGTTTTAATTAAAAAAAAAAAAAGGAAACTGAAAATCCAGAGACAGTCATCACTGATTTTGGTAATGTACTTTCATGAGCTTTTCTTTCTCATATGACTTCATGTCCACCTAAAGACTTCAAGACTCTGAGCTGCCACATTGAATCAATACTTACCTCAGATTTTTTTATATTGAAAAATTGTATATATTTCTCAATGAGAAGAATTTTAATTACCAGAGTGTGGAAATTTTAAGTAATTATATACTTTATGGGAGAAAATATTTTTAAATTAAATGTTACAAATTTGCATTGAGTACATTCTATGTGTAAAATATTGGTAGACTTTGCAGTGCCTACAAAGTTTATTCACTCCATAGGTCTTTGTTAAGCAAGCTTCACCCAGAAACCTGTGGTATAATCACATAGGGTAAAGAAATATTTTTCTTGAAGGAGCTTACTAGCATCTTTGGAGAGAAAGACATACAAACAAATAATTACAAAGTAAAAGCACATAGACGAAGCACATCACAAAACCTTGGGCATTCAGCCCAAGGAGGTTTCATTGGAACTGGGGCCAAATATAAGTAGGATTTTGTCAAAGAAAGCATGTTGGTGACGGATGGAACACTGATATGCATTCAGGAGAGGATGTGCAACTAAGAAAGAATGATTTGTAAATGTTTGTCATATTTGTCTAGGATCATAGAGTAACCCTATTCCATCTGGAATTAATCCTACACAAGAGAGCTCTACCAGGATGAGCTGATTACCCCTCAAAAGCTCCACTTCCAGATCATCCCAACACTTTGGGATTAGAGTTTAACATATAAATTTTGGAGGGCACAGGCATGCAGTCTGTTGTAGTGTGGCTTATTCCATATGGGCCTCATCTGCCCATGGTGTCTGTCTTTGTGAACATTAACAGTTCCAACCTACATCTCTCCAGACTTAGGGAATGTAGAAAAGGGGGCCTGCTGTTTGGCTACTGAACAGAGATGGGCTCTGACTGACTTTGATTCTAGCTAGTTTCTGTCGTTTAAAACCCTTACACCATGGCAGATTTTCAGATGTCTGGCTTGCACAGTTTCTGAGTGTTTGACAGTCAACCCCAGCAATCTAGTCCAGCTGCTCCAGCACAGCAGCACTGAGCTAACAAAGGAGCTATCAGAATCACAAAGACGGCTGGCAAGAGAGGTGATGGGACTTTAAAAGGAAATCTGAATACTGTCAGAAGAGTGTTAGGCACCTGGTAGCCAAGGCCAACAAGTAAGTTTACACTGTACTACTTAAGAATTTTTAAAAATCCTTATATAATTTCTTGGGATAACATTTTTAAGGTCCATATAATATTCTATTCTGTGAATAGTAGAAATTCTAGCACAAGCACAGCTTGATAAATGTTGGGGAATATTTTAGAAAAACCTCTAATTCTGAGTAATTTAGGGTAACATTGACTGCTCTAACATTCACTACTAACATACAGGTTTGTTTGTTAGTAACAGCTAACATAGAAGAAATTCTGCTCCTATCAGAATCCCATGTGGCTTCTCCTAGTTAGGCATCCTACCTGTAGTCATTAGGGAAAAAGCTCATTTTGTCCTATGGCTTTCCATGACTCAGGGTCTATGCAGTCATTTCCATGCAGTGTGGGTGAAAGAGAAGGGGGAGAATTCTGTGGGATAAGCCTTCAAGTGCAACATTCTCTGTGCCTACATCCCACTGCCTAACACCCAATCTCATGGGCACAACTAATTGAAGAGAGTAAAGAAAAGGGGTGTGCTAAATATCCAGCAGTCTTTGCCCAAACTTCCTTACCCAAGATAGAGAGATCCTTTCATGCTGCCTGATTCTGTTCTATTTTACATAAACATATCACCCAGATTGGATTATCTGCAGGATTTAAATAAGGAGTAGAAAATTATAAATACTGATAAAAGTGTAAATAATTTTTCAATAGCCCAGCATGGTGAGAGAATGCTTTTGAATAGTCTTTGAATTGCATTTAGTTCAGATACTGGAGAGGAGAGTGGAAGTTATTCAACAGAGGAATTTTGATTTCATAAATAGTTATGGATAGGTATCATTCAGTCAAAGTATAAGAAAATTAAATGTACAAGGTAGTATATAGGAATTTTATAGTCAGTAAGTTTGCTGACTTATTACAATGGTATTTTAATGAAAAGGCCTCCTAAGGATTGGGAAAATATTTGCAAATCATGTACCTAATAAGAGTTACTATCTAAAACTTATAAAGAATGCTTACAACTTGATAGCAGTTTTTCTATTTGATTAAAAATGGGCAACAGTCCCGAATGAACATTTCTCCATGGAAGACGTGAATGGGCAACAGGTAATCATCAGAGAAATGCTAGTCAAAACCTCCATGAGATATCACCTCACACCCACTAGATAGCTGTTCTCAAAGAGAAAATAATAGATAAGGATACTGAGGATGTGGAGAAAAGTATGCTTTATACTCTGTTGGTGGGAATAGAGATCAGTAGGCATTGTAGAAAATGAGTATAAACTCAAAGGAGATGAAATCACTACTTCTTAAAGACATCTGCACTCCCTTGTTCATTGCAATATTATTAACAATAGCCGTGATTCGGAAACAACCTAAGTATCCCATTGATGAATATAGAATTAAAAAAACCCTGTGATATCAGTATATATTTCATTGCAATGGAATATTATTAAGTCTTTGAAAAGGAAATCTGCCATTTGCTACATGTCTGAATCTGGAGGACATTATAATAAGCGAAATAGCCAGACATAGAAACAAAGATGCTGCATAATCTCCCTTATATGTGGAATCTGAAAAAGTCAAATATACAGAAATAGAGAACAAACAGTAGTTAACAGGGGCAGGAACGGGAAGGAGGGAAATGGGGAGATATAGATCAAAGGACAAAGTCTGTATCTGCAGACTAGCAGTCTGTGGGATGAGCAAGTGTAGGGATCTAATGTACAGCAGGAGGACTATTGTTAGTTATGTTGTACTGTATTTGGGATTTTTGCTAAGCGAGTAGATTTTAGTTGTTCTTGCCATACACAGAATGTGGGTAACCATGGGAGGTAATGGGTATGTTAATACCCTTCGCTACAGTAACTATTTTATTAACCATGCTTATCTCATAACATCATGTTGTATACCTTAAGTATATAATAACATTTACGTAAAAAGAAGCGAACAAGAGTATTTTAGCTTTTTTCTTATTTCTCATTACACAGGTGATTAAAGTGTACAGTGAAGATGAAACCAGCCGGGCTTTGGAGGTGCCCAGTGATATAACTGCCCGAGGCGTTTGCCAACTACTGATTGTGAGGAATCATTATGTTGATGACCACAGCTGGACCCTTTTTGAGCACCTGCCTCACGTAGGTGTAGGTAAGGACGCAGAATCACAGTCTCCCATTGTTTCTCTGTCCCTCGTGGTAGAGATCATATGGCAAAGACTTTCTTATATGCATAAAATAGAGCAAAAGGGAGTTAAGAAGAGTCCTTTCCTTGCCCTGTTCATTTTTTCTCATTGGTATTTAACAAAGAAAGAACCCAAAATGGGGAAAAGGTAGAAATATAAATTTATCACCCCTCTTTCTTTAAGTAATGATGTAAGTGTGAGAATTTTGGAGCAAAAACATGAGCTAAAATTCATAAAAAGACAAATTTCATTACAATCCTTAGTAGCATAATTAAAACTTTTTGTGACATTAATAAGGCAAGATATCATTTGGGCCACTTTTCAAGTTGATTGCAGTGTAGGTGAGAACAAGTATCCACAGTTGCATTTCTCTTTATGGAAATGTACAACTTCATTTTTCTTGAAAAAATAGGTAATTCCTTCATGTTTTTAAGACATAAGACTAACCTTTTAAAAATATTTAATTGAAAATTCATTTATGTACATTAACTTTGGAGAGTTTTTTTAAATGTTCTTTTAATTATTTATAAAGAATTCATTCCTTTATTAGGGCGAAATAGGGCTTGGCAACAATTTTACTCACTACTTTGTTATTTGGAGATACGAATGTGAAAAGTCATGCTTACATATTTGAGTAGATGAGGGAGGAAGGTGTTTGTGTGGCAAAGCATTTAGATTCTTTGTACTCTCCATTAGCTTCATGTGCTAACTGTAAGAGTTTACCACAAACTTGGTGACTTAAAACAACAGACAAGTATTCTCTTAAGCTTCTGGAGGTCAGAAGTCAATTAAAGTTGTCAGCAGGGATGTGCTCCCTCTGGCGGCTCTAGGGGAGAACACCTTTCTCATCTCTTGGTGTTGGTAGTTCCAGCATTGTGTGGATGTGCCTGCATTACTTTAATCTGTCTCTTTGTGGTCAGATGATCTACTCCTTTTCTGCCAATGCTTTCTCCCTCTTTCTTATAACTAACATTTAGGGACCTCCCAGATCATCCAGGGTAATCATCTATTTCAGAGTTTTTTGTTTGTTTTTTGGTCCATAAAAGGTAACATTCACAAATTCTAAGAATTACTGTTGTGGTAATCTTTTGGAGTGATTATTCAGTCTGCCACAAATTGCTTTTCATTCTATGTTAGAAAGCCTTTAGTAATAATCATCAAATCATTTAAAATAACTTATCATTGACAGTTCAATTGCTTCTATTAATTTATTAAAAAAATTATCCTTTTGTTTGACTCTTTAGAGGGTTTGCCCCCCAGAACAACATTCTATAGTAAATTTTGATTTGGATGAGAGGTTTCTCTCATGAAATGGAATTTAAAAAAGAGAATGTTGTAGGGTGAAGTGTTCTTAGGAATATTCATTTAAAAATGATTCTGGAAAGTGGTTTTGCCTCACACCCACTGCATTCCCTGAGTAACTTTAGAAAGTGTTGGTAGCTTTCCCATTTGACAACCACTGTCCTAGGACACTCAGAACCTCAGGGAGAGGACAGTGAAGCCTGTGGACAGCAGCTAGAGTTCACAATTTCCACAGGGATTCAGAAACTGAACCTCTGCCCAGTTGATGTTGACTGAGCTGCAGCAACGCCCTCTGGCCTGACAGCTGAGCGGAGACAGTTACACAGCTCTAAGGAAACCTGAATTCTGAAAGTAGTGCTGTACCAGCCCTGTGACTTCCTGTCTCCCAGGGCAGAAAACTTCAATGTATATTTTCTTCATTTTATGACTCAGAATATCCCAGAAGTATGATGCTAATTCTCAATAGATACTTGCCATATTCCAAACTACTTTACTTATCCTGGCAGGAATATAGCTCTTAATTAGTATAATACATAATTACAGTATTTTATTCTCTTACATTTTTCTTTTGGGGGAACTTTAAAAACATATTTTATTATAATCACTACAACTTATCCCTAACAAATAGCTTTGGAGTTCAGTAATAAAAACTACTCTGTAAATTAAATAGCAACTTTCTCTGAGATTATTACAAATTATTTATATTAAGGAATGAAATACACAAGTCTTTTAATGTGAAAGTCTAAAATGGAACATTGAAAATTAATTTGAACTACATACTAAATTTAAACTTCCAGGCATCAAATAACCATGTGAGTGTATTTCTCAATTACAGTGCTTTCTAGAAACTGCTGAAATAAAACCAAAGATGTGAGAATATGCCTTCTGATTTCATCAACCATGCACTGGACCAAAGCTTGGGAGAAAGGGTTTTAGTTCCATAACTGTCTTGGGTTCCTTTTCCTTTTTTTCTTACTCAGATTATGTAGCTAAACAAAACGGTTTCAAGCATGAATTGTCCCTAAATACTTAATTTGAACTACATACTAAATTTAAACATCCAGGCATCAAATAATAATATGAGTGTATTTCTCCACTATAATGTTTTCTAGAAATTGCTGAAATAAAGTCAAAGCTGTGAAAATATTGTCTCTTGGTTTCTTTAATCATGCACTGTATTGCACTAAACAGCTCCAGTCTTTACATAACAATGTAACAGGAGACTGAGCTGAGGGCTGGAAGTGCTTGGTATTCCTTAGCCTTAAATATGAACAGTGAATCTTTGAAATGTTGTATTGTTGTTGCTTTTGAGCAGGTTATAGATACTCATGCAATATATATAGTCAATCTGATAATATTTTATATTTGCATATTACAATGAATGGAAAAAACTAGAGTGAGTTGTTTTTTTTCACCTCAAATACGATGTGCAGTTACAGAGGTCCTTGGTCAATGAAATGAACCTCCAGTACTCACCTCTGAGACATCCATGAGTGCTTTTGATGTAAAGAACAAAGGACAAACTGCCAAGACTTTGGTGACTGACTAGTTGGCTCTGCTTACTGTTCAGGAGACATTCTTGACCTCTTTTTTGTACAAAATGAGTTTCCCATCCCCTGCTTTTTTGTGTGAGATAGAGTCTTGATAATTTTTGTCCGGGATGGCTTCAAATCACAGTCCTCCTTATATTTGCCTCCTAAGTAGCTGGGATTATAGGCATGATAAAGTATTTTTAAATATGAAAATTATTCAGCTTAATTGTACATAATAGAAATAAAGAGGTCTAGAATTAATATAATTATCCATAATTTCATAGCACTGAAGTAACTTCTATTAGCATTTCAAAAATTTCTTAAATCAGTCTTCTCTCTCTTCTTCTTTACTTCTCCTGGGTCTCATTCTGTAACTAGGCTGGCCTTGACCTAGAACTCATGATCTTCCTGCCGCAGCCCCTTGAGGTATAGAATTACAAGCATGTGCCCTAATGCCTGGTTTGTCTCTACATTTTAACACAAACTGTATTTGTCTTTACTTGTATAGAGTACCTTCTTTTTTGTGCACTAAAAAGTACATATTGAGTATATTTAGTTTTTTTACCTTTCACTTTATAGATTCTAATAAAGTAGGAACTCCTGCCTCCCCAGGCTGCTTTCCCTAAACAGTTTAGCAAATATTTATAGATAAATTATGTCAATTTTCATACAATTTATAGATCCTAGGTTTTTGGTACTAAATGTACCAAAAACCTTGCATTATGGTAGAGTGAGAAGGACAAGAAACAAATGACTAATATTTGTATTCCTTAGGTGGTGATAAGCTCTAGAAAAGGAAGAAGTGGGAAGAGGGACAGCAAGGGCTGGAGGTGAATGGGAGGTGGACTCTAAATAGAGGCATTGGGAAAGCCTCCCTGACAGAGTGATGCTTGAACAGGGAGACCCAAAGCACATAGCAGGCAGGCCTGGCAGCTAAGTGGGAGGCAGTGGGTGCTTTCATCTGAATGGAAGGAACAGCAAGTGGGAGGCCCAGATGCTGCAATGTGCTTGTGTGCAGGAAACAGCCCAGAGGCCAGTGCACCTAGAATGGAGTCAGTAAGGCAAAAATAATGGGGAGAGTGTCACAAATCTACCACAGGATCAGATCCTGTAGGGCCTCATAGACCATGGAGTGGGCCTGGCTTTTACACTGGGGCAGAGAAAAGCAATGGGAGGCCTTTGAGTTAGAGATTTGCTTTTAAAGTAAATTGTAATTTACTTTTAAGTGTATACTACTAAAGGAGCAAGAATCGAAGCTTTGACCTTTGAAGGCTATGCACATTGCTTTGCTTTTACATCACACTACCTGTGACTCCCTGAAATGGTCCTTATCTACTCTATTTCTGCTAGGTATACAAGTCCCAATGAACCCTCTTCACCTCCAGATTGCATATTTCTGAAGTTTAGTGTTTGTGAGATCCTGGGGTCCTATAGTTGAGAACATTTTCACTCATAGGAAACATGAGCGTTGAGGGTTTTCTGCACTTTAGCTCACGTTAGTGACCAAGATAAGCTTAGGAAAGTTCCAGACACATTCCTTGTTAATAGATATGCTGCCGTTGTTTCTTCTGATCCATCAAACCACACCACAAAGTACTAAAGTCAGAAGGGGAACACTTGACATTCAGAACGTGGTGGGTTCATGAGACCTTCAGTCTATTTTCAGAGTGACATTTTCTGTGGCAAAGGAAACTTCTATCTTATCAGCATTTTGTAATAGGAATGCACATTTGATAGCTCCTGTTCATGTACATAATAAGGTATGTATTTTAGTATCCATTTTAAATGCAGCAGTACAAAGACTCAGTGATGAAATATCTCTTCTAGGGTCAAACATTGCATGGAGAGGTACTGTCAGATTCTGTGTATTTTCTACTTAAGCAGGTTGTTTTCTTCTTACAACAACAGGTCAAGCAAATGTTCTTAGGATCAGTGGTTGGTTTGTCTCTGATTTACTGTACGTCTCTGCCTCTCAGGCATGCTATAATTTAAATTTTGAATCCCCAAGCATATTTTCAGATAAACCTTCCTTACCCAGGTGGTATTGAGGTCCTTATGATCAAACTGAGCCAACCTGGTTCATTTTTTAGCAAAGCCAGATACTTATTTTGCCAGAGCAAGAGGATAATGCT